AGCATCCATCGCTGAGCAAGTGATGTAATGCTACATTTCTCCTAATCTGTTCTGATGAACAAAACAACTCATCTATATCTTGGATGGCCAAATGTATGTGATGTTTAAAGATCAAGTGTTTTAATAAGAAAGATAAAATTAGAAATGAAGAAACAGAATGAAGAAATATGAAGAAAACTGACAGTAGTATAGAGGGTGGATTAATACATACGTCATGGCCTGGTAGATGGATTCAATCCCATAGCGCATTGCAAATTCATCCACTATCTCTTGTGGAACATCGTCAAAGTACACTTTCCAGGCATCATCGCCACGGGCTTCTGGGATTTTCACCACACCCTGACCGAGGACATCTGTGATGTGATGAAAGAGGTTCTACGAGAAACAACAGAGACTAAATATTAGTGACTAAATCATCTGCCTCATCTGCCTGATAATGAGAGATCTGTACATGGTAAATGCATGTCAGGCAGCTGCTGTGGTCTGGTTGTGTTGGTTGTGTTGCTCTACCTCATGTAGACAGGTGTACTGGACGTGGTAGGGGGCCACTTTCTCTTCACCCTTAATTTCCACACTGATTTGAAGACGGATGGCACCAGAAACAGCAGACTTGTCCGTTCTTTTCTCTGTGGGGTCAGATATGGATGAATAATTAATGTATGTGCAGAGATATTTAACCCATGGGAACAGTGCAGCAACATTCATTCATTCATTTTTTTTTTCATTTTATGTTGCTCACATCAATCTACATTGCATACACCATACTGACAAAGCAAAAACAGATGTCACAACTTCGTAAATTTATTAAAAATTAAAAACTACATACATAACTAAATATTTAGCTGAAGCACCTATGGCACCAGAAACAGCAGACTTGTCCGTTCTTTTCTCTGTGGGGTCAGATATGGATGAATAATTAATGTATGTGCAGAGATATTTAACCCATGGGAACAGTGCAGCAACATTCATTCATTCATTTTTTTTTTCATTTTATGTTGCTGCCTTATGATAAACTTCTTTAAATTACTTTTTTTCCACATCAATCTACATTGCATACACCATACTGACAAAGCAAAAACAGATGTCACAACTTCGTAAATTTATTAAAAATTAAAAACTACATACATAACTAAATATTTAGCTGAAGCACCTTAACAGCCTCAAGTCTTTTTTTTGTTTGATGCGACAAGCTTTGCTCATCAGCATTTTGCAATTATCTGCCATTCTTCACCTCACC